CATTCCTATTATATTATATAACAAGTATACTTAGTCATAAGTTTGTTCAAAGAATACTATGTATGTATAAATTAGAGAATGCTGTGTATTCTTTAATGGCTGCAAATATATTCTTGTGCATGAAGTATTGTGTAATGGTTGGATGTAGTTTACCTGAAGCATGTATAGTTTGTTCTAGTATTTAATAATCCTTTGGTTAATTTGAACATTATATAACATATAGTTCTTTTTATTTATGCAACGTTACAGTAGTTAGTGGTTTGATAGTATATTATGTAATTTTTCTTCTAGTGCATGCAACCTTTTTTGCAAGACTGCATATTTTCACATGCTGTCGTATGTATACACATTTTTAATGCTAACATTTCTTTGTTTTTGCAATCAAGCTAAATTTAATTTGAAATTAATGCTGTTGTTGTACATAACTATGTGTTATTGTGAATTCTGTCTTTGGGAATTAATGTTGTTAGCAGTTCTCACTTAGTATTGTTAAAATGGACTTATACTTCCGAATGCGATACAGTGTAATTTAATTTTAGTATCTTCATTACATTAGTTAATTGTTAAATAGTTTATAGTTCAAGAGTTTGAGAAGTCTATAATTAAAAAAGACATAGATTTACATGTTTGAAAAGATATTTTTAAAATATTGAGAAGATATATTCGTAAATAGAAATTATGACTGAAAACAAACTCAATATATAGAACCAGTGGATCAACAACTTCGACGAAGCAGTGCTCAAGTACAATCTACAACATTACCTAAACTTCCATCAACAGAGTCCCTATCAACAAGTGTAAATTTAACAACTGCTGCTCCTCCACTATCTCCAGGTATAAACACAAAGTTACATTAATATCATAATGGGCAATAATAACAAAAATTTGCCAGGTGCTTTTTAACTTTTTTGTGAATAAATATTCTTCCTTACTTGTTCAAGTAGTTAATTAGCTGTAAGAAACTGCATTCTTTTATTTCTTGTTCGGCTTTATTACATTTACCTATGTATTATGCATATATTGTAATCCATAAATTTTATAATGTAATCTTTGTACATTGTATAGTCTCCTTTGTCTGATAAANCAATAATAACAAAAATTTGCCAGGTGCTTTTTAACTTTTTTGTGAATAAATATTCTTCCTTACTTGTTCAAGTAGTTAATTAGCTGTAAGAAACTGCATTCTTTTATTTCTTGTTCGGCTTTATTACATTTACCTATGTATTATGCATATATTGTAATCCATAAATTTTATAATGTAATCTTTGTACATTGTATAGTCTCCTTTGTCTGATAAA